TGACTTCGGCGGTTCCATCTCGGCAATTGCTCTGATCTTCTCTGGGTTGACCTCAATCCCTCTCCTGGAAACCATGAAACCCAGGAATTTTCCAGACTCCACTCCAAAGATGCATTTGGCTGGGTTTAACCTCATTCTATTCTGTCTGAGATTGTTGAATGTCTCCTCAAGGTCGGTTAAGTGATCGTCAGCTTTCAAACTCTTTACCACTATATCATCAACATAAACTTCCAGATTCCGTCCTATCTGAGCTCAGAATACGATGGTAACCATCTTCTGGTAAGTGGCACCTGCGTTCTTCAAGCCGAAGGGCATCATTACATAGCAATAGATCTCATCGCCAGCATAGAACGAGGTTTTTTCTTCATTCTCAGGAGCCATTGGGACCTGGTGGTAGCCTGAGTATGCATCCAAGAGACTTAATCTCTCATTTCCCGAAGCTGCCTCAACCATCTTATCAATGTTTGGCATTGGATAACAGTCCTTTGGACATGCATCGTTGAGGTTAGTGTAATCAATGCACATCCGCCATTTACCGTTTGCTTTTTTCACCAACACCGGATTGGCGACCCACTCACAGTAATCTACCCTTCTGATAAAGCCGGCTTGTAGGAGTTTCTCGACCTCTTCTTTAATAACCTTTAACCTTTCCCCCTCGAATAGGCGTCGCTTCTGGGTTACCGGTTTCTTGAGGGGATTGGTGCTGAGTTTATGTTGAAAAACTGAAGTGGGAATTCCCGGCATATCTGCTGAAGTCCATGCAAAAACATCTTTATTGGCCCGAAGAAAAGCTATTAGCTCTGCTCTTTCCTCTTGGTTCAATTTAGTCCCAATTTGCATTTTCCAGCTCGGATCTCTGTCATCAATCTATACCTCCTCCACATCTTCGACTGGAGCAGCTCTGGTTTCATCTTCTGGTCGGTTATCTACTATCTCAACACCCATAACTTGCCATTCATCAGGAATCTGTTTAGGATCAGTCTCGGGTGTCTGAGCCTTGCTCTTCTGAGGTTGTGTTACCGAGGTGATATAGCAATGTCGGGCCACCTCTTAGTTGCCGCGTAGCGTTGCTATTCCCGTAGGAGTTGGGAACTTTATGCACAGGTGAGATTGGGAAACCACAGCTCGGATTTCAGTCAATGTGGGTCGACCAATGACGACATTGAATGAGGACGCCATCTTGACTACCAGAAACCTGACTGAAGGGGTCACATAACTTCGGCCACTTCCAAATGCAACATTCATGGTGAAGACTCCTTCAACTGGAACTGGTTGGTTGTTGAACCCGTAAATGGGACCATCATACCGCTGCAACAGGGCTGGATCTAACCCAAGACTCTCAAAACAATGGAAGTACATGATGTCTAGTGCACTCTCTGTGTCAACAAGGACACGCTGCACCTCACAATTGTTGATCATGACAGAAGTGACTAGGGGATCATTGTGAGGTGTGACAACTGTTTCAAGATCAGCAGATGTGAAAGTGATGGGTTGATTCTTCCACTCAGCATCGTCAAATTTTCGCTTCTGAGCTCTGTTCTGGTGCTTAACCTCTCTGACATACAACTTTCGCTGCTTAAAGCTTAGTCCACCGGCTTCCAAACCTCCCATAATCATGTGTATGACTCTAGCTGGTGGTGGGAGTGGGGGTGGGGCCTGCTGATATCCCACACCTTGCCTGTTTGGGGGATTGCGGACTCCTTGATGCTGTGTCCCTTGTTCCCTGACAAACCGTGGTTGTTCAACTCTCTGAATGTACTCGTTCAACATTCCTTTCTGCGCCAGACTTTCCAACTCGGACCTCAGACTATTGCATTGTTCTGTTGTATGACCGTGATCTTGATGAAAGTCACAATACCTAGTATGGTCTCTGGTAGCAGCAGCAGTTCTCATTGGACCCGGACGTCTTAAGTCCATCTTATTCTTAATCTGCATGAAGATTTGTGACCTTGGTAAAGTAAAAGGAGTCCAATTAATTGGAGGTTTACCTGCAGGTTGTTGCGGAGGTGCTGAGTTCGTTCTTCCGAATCTCAGGGTGGAAGTCGACATCGGACCTCGATTCTATGTTGTCTTCATCCATTTCCCATTCGAATTCTCATCTCTCCAGTCCAGGTGTTGATTCTTAATAGGAGTTATGTTCTGCGACAGGGCATATTCCTCAGCAGTTATGAATTTCAACGATCTATCATTTACCTCGCTGAAGGTGTTGGCAGGATGTTTGAGCAGACTATCTCTGAATCTCTCATGGCTAAGACCTGAGATCACGGCTGTAATTCCCACAGCTTAGTCGAAAGAGTTAACCTCCAGCACTGCATCATTGAATCTGCTCATAAACTTCTTTAAAGACTCTCCGTCTCTCTGCTTAACTCGCATCAGCTCAGAAGTGGTTTTCCTGATCAACCTTCTACTGGAAAACTTTGTGGCAAAAGCAGATGCCATTTCTGTGTAAGAGTTGATTGACTTCGGAGGCAGACTGTAGTACCAGGTTCGAGCATTACCTTGGAGGGTAGAGGGAAAGATTTTGCACATCAACACATTAGAGGCGTTCTGGGCCTGCATGCAGGAGTAGAAAGCATGTAAATGATCATCGGGGTCCTTTGCCCCATCATAAGTTTCAAGCTGTGGTATTCTGAAGCCAGCGGGATAGGGTTCCAATATAATATTGGTGTTGAGAGGGTGGGGTATGGAGTCAGCAGCAGGGTGTGGAGGTGGAACACCTCGCTGTTCAACCACCAGCTTTTCTAGGCTATCTAGACGTCGGGTGACATCATCATGAGGGGGTTGCTGAGCTGGTGCAATGTGAGATTGGCCCTGAGATTCACTAACAGCGGGAGCATGTTGAACTGGTCTAGGATTTTGTGGTGGGGCTGGAGGTTATGGAGCAGGATTAAGTAGGTTAATGAGTGGATCACCAGGATTATTCCGGGCTAATAGCTGAGCCAGCACTAGCTGAAAAACACCAAACTGCTGTTGCATGGCAGCGAGCTAAGTTGCAACTACGTCTTGGTTAGTAGTAGAGGCTGAGTTGCTAGCCGAATTGTGTGGCTAATTTTCATCTTCTCCTTCTACATGATCAATAGGAGGGAACGTGTTTGGGATTGGGGGTGGGGGATGAGGCGGAAGGTTGCTGGGGACCTGACCTCGTCCAAGAGGTTGAAACGAGTTTCCACCTCGGGCTGACCTAGTTTTAACCATGATAAGAGCAACAAGGGAGCCTTTAGTTCAGTTTCCCACAGACGGCGCCAAAATGTAACTGCACCAAACCAGAAATCCTTCTTCAGTCCATATCTGCACTCTGGATTAACCTGCAAAGCCCCAAGGTGAATCCTCGGGGTAGACACTCCGATGCTTAAGTCAACAATAATCGGGGCTACCTTTAGAACGGAGGAACAAGGAGCTTAGGGTTGATTTCAATTACCTTTTGGCGTGGCCTTTAAGGGGTATTTATATGTTCCGATGGAGAATCCACGCGGCATGCCAAACAAAACGCCAAGCAAAATATCCAGGATCTGATGTGTATCTCTAGGCAGTTATTTCAGGACCGAGAGATTGAGCCAAGCAAGATATTCGGGATTTGATGTGTATCTCCAAGCAGTTATTTCAAGACAGGGAGATTGAGATATATTTAGATGCAAGGATGTCCATCGTAATAGCTGTGTAGCTGTTCGAACGGGAAGCTCTGGATTTACCCTTTACTCTGGTTGTAAAGGAATTACTGTCGTCCGTCCAAGGTTGGGCACCTCAGACCTGCTCTTACAGTGGTGAATTATGATTACAAGTCTCTAGAATGTGTCGAGAAGCTGGTAATCACGATCAATGGCCAAAGTCCAGGTCCTACAATCAGAGCACAATAGGGTGACACCATTATTGTGGAGGTTACAAACAATCTGTTTACAGAGGGTGTTTCAATCCACTGGCATGGAATCCGACAGGTAAAATTTCGAAGGATTTGGAGAATTCTTCATTCCTGAAACAATCTTTATACATAATTTTATTTCAATGCTCTGACCTTGATATATAGAGAGGAACGCCATGGTTTGATGGAACAGTAGGGCTGACTCAATGTCCCATTTTACCTGGATCTACTTTCAAATATGAGTTTGTTCTAGACAGAGTAAGTTTTTTTTATTCTACAATCTCCCTTACATTAATTCGAAAACTAAGGCCTTCGAAGATAGCAGATAATAACTCAACTAAACTATTATTCTAATCATCATTAGATGAACTCGATTCTAATTTGCTATAATTTCTTCAATGTAGGCTGGAACATACTTGTACCACTCACACTATGGAATGCAAAGAGTGGCTGGACTATATGGATCGATCCTTGTGTCTCTCCCAGACGGGAAATTGGAACCCTTCACCTATGATTATGACCAGAGTATCCACTTGAACGATTGGTACAACAAGAGCACCTATGAGCAAGCCGTTGGATTGTCTTCCATTCCCTTTGGATGGGTTGGGGAACCTCAGGTACATATATGTCACTAATTAATCAAGGCAGCACTCCCTCCTAAGCCTACCATTTTGTATATATTCCATTTACTAATGCAATTCGATGTCATTGACTGGCAGTCACTTCTGGTAAACGGAAAAGGAAGGTTCAACTGCTCTCAATTTACCGCTCCAAGCGTAGACGTCGGCATCTGCAATACCACAAATCCAGAATGCTCTCCTTATTCATTGACATTAGTCCCTGGAAAAACATACCGCCTCAGGATTTCCAGTTTGACAGCTCTATCTTCCCTCAGTTTCCAAATTGAGGCAATTAATTTTACCTAATCTCATTGCTTTGATTTCTTCGAATTTTCGTTTTGGTTACAATACTAAATCTTGTTACACATGATTCTCAACAGGGTCATAATATGACTGTGGTGGAAGCAGACGGATCCTATGTCGAACCTTTCGTGGTACAAAACTTGTTCATATACTCCGGAGAGACATATTCTGTCCTGGTAAAGGCCGACCAAGATCCTTCCAGAAATTACTGGATAACTGCCAACGTCGTTGCTCGAAGCCCTGCCACTCCACCCATATTAGCCATTTTAAATTACTATCCTAACAGTCCAACGAAATCCCCCCAGACAGTGCCACCATCAGGCCCTGCCTGGGACGATGTTGCCCGAAGAAAGGCGCAGAGCAAAGCCATCAGAGCTCGCCATGGCTACGTCCTTGGGTCAGGGACTGAGAGAAGTTGGTACTTGGCAGATCTGCTTAAATCTATCCAACTAATCGGATTATGGGCCTAGATGCAAAACCGCATACCACTTGATTGAGCCATAAATTGATATAGGCTTCTTTCTCTTGTGTCGATCGCATTTTGCGAGGAAAGAGCGTTAAGGGCCATGTTGCTGTCACCAACTAAATAGGTAAGGTTTATTAATTTAATTATAATTTTATTAGTTTATAATTTTTTAAATA